AGATTTTAAGTGCCAGTAACAACAGAAGCAGTCAGATTCCCTCCACAGCTGCCTCCAGAGGAGCTGAACCAGCATTAGCAGCAGCAGGAAATGTTTGCAGTAGTATCTGTGTGGAGAAGCCCCAATGTTCCAACACACTGCTGCCAGTTCCCATTTTGGTGAGTTTGACCCAGAGCATTTAATGTTTCAACATTAGTTCTGTGTCTCATAATGCCGCTTACGTAATGATCACTCATTTGCTTCCCATTAAAATCATAATATTTCTTCTGCAAACCACTGCTTGTAAAAATCAAGCCACCCAGTTTTTCATTAAATTGTAATACAGGAAATAAGTAGTCTGTCTGTAGGATGCACACCGTAATTCTCAAACAGAGAATAAGGGGCTTTTTTCACCCTCTTGAATGTACAAAGTTCAGATCTCAGAAGAAGGAACGTGAAAGGTCTGTTAAGGGTTGCTGAATCCATCCCCTGCAAAAACACAGTGTGGTTGCTCCCCAGTAGATGCTCCTCAGATACTATACTGATACAAGGAGAGTCCACAGCTCTTCATAGTCAGTGGCAAGAATCCTCTTAAAATTGTAGAAGTGGTAGGTGTAGCTCTTGCAGGTCGTCCCAGTGCCGCTACCTCGTGAGGCAGCGCAGAATGCAGAACGGTTCCTTGTATTATATATACCAGCACTTTGAAGAATTCAGTTTCAAGTGTCTCAAACAATGGGGTTTTCACCGCTTCCTGTGGGAGCCTGCTCTGCCGCCTAACTCATTTCACCATCTGGAACATTTTCCTGAGTGTCTGCCTGCTTTTAACTTTCTTTTAATTGTGCACCCACTATTTCTTCTTAAAGGTGGCTTGCCAAAAGTTTCTGTTGTGTGAAATTCACGTTACGTGGTGCTTTTTTATTTTTTATGAGGATCTAGTAAACCCTGAAAGATTGATGGCTTCTTCTCTTTGCTTTTTCTTCCTCAGAAATAATAAGAAGTATTTAATAATGTATTTTCTAGCCATTCTTCTCAGTGATTTGCAAGGAAGGTCAACATTGCTGTACTCTTTTTACAGATGGGAAAAACTGAACCACAGGGCAGGAAACAACTTGCCCAGGATCGTTCAATGAGCCCATGGCAAGACTTGGATTTTTAACCAGGTCTCCACAATAGTGCCCTACTTTTTTTTTACTCTTTTTTCTTTTTTCTTTTTTTTTTTTTTGTCCTGTCCAGTTCCCTTTGGCTTTGTTGGAGTACCTAGGAAGGACAAGCTTTCCGTGAACTTTGTTCAGAATTGCCATGTTGTAACTGAAAGGTCAGCCTCTTGAATATTTAACAGTTACTATCTTTCCAATGTGTTGGTTAAGCATCCTAATTAAGTAGTGATAAATAAAACCAACAAAGCATTTTAACAGACTGATTCAGTCCCTAGGGCCTCCGAGCTGAATTTCCTTCAGCTAGCCTGTGTTTCCCCAGTTGCAGATTGTCCAGATTGAACACAGTATATATCAAGCACACTCTTATCAGTGCATTGCAGGGAGATTTCCTTCCTCCTCAGTGCCACCGTGCTTACTTCACCTGTCGTAATTCCCTTAGCTGTGGTTTTCGGTAAGCGTGTTTCTCAGAATCTGGTGAGTTGCTAAATTGTGAATCTTCCATTTGGAACAATAACACTGCAATCTGTTACAGCACGATGCACTGGGTAGAGAGCAATCCCCAGCCTAGCACTGAACAGGCTCACCTGAGTATCAGAAGCAGCCTGGCCTTAGGAGCACAGAGTTCTCCATGGGCTGCTAGCAGGCAGGGTGTTTCTCCTACCTGCCTTAAAGCTTCTGCCTGTCCAGCCTGTCATTTCAGTGAATATCTTTACTGGGACTGGATCCACCTGAGCACGTGGTGAGATAAGTTTTGTTCCTCACCTCCCCATGAGAATGGCCAGGGAAGGCAGCCACAGCCGTGTGCTTGCAGACTAATCTGCAGCGGTCTCGTAACTGCCCCACACGGATTGGACACTGAACTGACAGCACCCATCATGTGCAAGGTGCAGCACTTTGTATGGGTGGAGGAACGTGCAGTTAGAGCTCTGGGTATGCCAGAGTTACAACTGAGGGATAGCACATAGATCTTCCTGGCTGCTGACCACCTTCAAAGTATCCCAGTAAGTGAAACCCTTACTCTCTGAGCTATTCCCCCTACTGCTCCTTCAAGCCTCCTTTATTCCAGATATCATTGAGCCAGTATCTGAGGATTTACCGAAAGTTGCAAGACTGTTGTAGGTCACTGAGCACATTGTCTTTGCTTTCAGATTGAGTTTGAGAAATTACCAGCAGTGTCATGCTTATGCCTCCTGGCCATGTGAATAGAGGAAGCTAAGAAGCAACAATAGATTACATAAAGCAGGGAAATCCCCCTCAAAGTTGTCCCAGACTATCTCAAACTGAAGCTGATTTGCATACATGCACTACAAATAACTTTGCAATGGCTTCTAGCCCCATGAAAGGGTTACATGTGCTTGCCTATAATCATTTAGGCCAGTTTCACCAGTTGAATCACTCAGAGAAAATAAAAAAGACTGAGTCAGAGCCTGTATAGAAATCTAAGCAGTTTTATGTAGCATCAGCCTACTTCAGGTAAGGATACAACTGGGTAATGCTATTCCACACAAAACCAGTGGGAAATGTTCAATACCTGTTAGTGACTAGCAGTTTTTCTAGAAAAACAGTGCTAAAATGCTATGCTAAGCTTTATAATTTGTGATTATGTATGGCTGGTATCATTCTTCAACCAAGCTTCATATACAAACACTATTTGGTGGAAAATGGACCTTACTGATAACCAGAAAAAAAGCTATAGTATCCTGTAGTTGAAATCTATGGCCAGCTGCTTTTGCAAAATCTGAGACTCATTAGGCCTGGAATTCCTGAGCGATGCTGTTCAAAAAGCAGTTGTGTTAAACAGACTTCCAAAATTCCTGTGATTTTTTTTTAAACAACATAGTTTAACAGAAGCAAACAAGCAAAAAAGAGATAGCATATTGAAAATGTGTATTTACTGGGTTATCTCAGGCTCAGAAATGTAGTTGGCTAATATGACACTACAAAAATCTTTTACATTATCTTTGATGCACTAAGAATGACATTGTTTATAAGCCTAGTGTATCATGACTATGGAATGCCTAAATTCTTCTTGAAGACAAGACAGTATTTTCTATTCCCTTGCTGACAGCGGGCTTTTGGAGTTTGGGGGGGTTGGTTTGTTTACTTGTTTATTTGTTTTAATAGGATAAGAAGATAAAAGTTCCCAAAGGCTCGGTAAGAGCTGTTTCTTTGGAAAGAATTTTCTCACCTACTCCCTTTCCTAGCTTTCTATTGAAACAAGTTCTCAGATACATTTCCTGCCAGCCCTCTACCAAAGCTAGACGGAGTATAGACAACTGCACTGATTCTTTAAGCTCTCCCAGCAAATTCACAGAAGGATTTTCTGTACATTTTCTGGGTTGTCAAGCCAGCTCTACATTAAAATGAAGTATAGTTGGAAAGGGATATAATTTTAAACAATGCTGTAGATGCCTTGCAGTAAATACCAAAGCTGTTTTAAACACTCTTAGAGGTGCTTTTGTCAGTATAGCATTTGCCTTGAGGAATTCATCAAAGGTGTACTGGCAAAAGTGGGGTTTGTTCTACCTGCATTAAGATTATCGTCATTGTCAGTATACTTATACCGGGACAGCTATATGAGCAACTCTTTTCTAGTGTAGTTGCTTTGCATATAATTAACAAACAGGGCTAGAGTGGAGGAGCAGAATTGAGACACAACTTCCCTTGACAACCTGTGTAAGCCTTGTGTTTCTTCTACAGTGTCACCTCTGTTAATATTAATAATGTCATGACCTGTTTCAGTGGAATACCTTGCCTTTTCACCCTTCTCCTTTCAGCTTTGCTGACTTTCTTCAGAGCTTTTTGATACAGAACAGTAGGAATCAGCCCAGGTAGGAACTGGCTGCTCTGCAGAGTCCCCAGTGCTACGATGGAGCTTGTCTCAGTGGGTCAGCTGTAGAGATGGGAAGAGGAGAAGTACATATTTGAATAGGCCTGGGACACCTTGCAATGCAGTTAATAGCAGCAAAACTGAGGACATGACATGATCTGACTGATGATTCATTAGTACCTTGGGTATTTTGGTCCTGATAACTGTGTGTGTTTCTTCAGTTTGTGTTCATTTCATCAGCTTGCAGGTTGATCAGGAAGGCTTTTATTTTGTTTTTTAATATCACCTCTCACAAACAACAGTCCATTTTCTACATAAGGTGTCTAATCACAGTAGCAAAGCACTTTAAAGCATGGCACTGTCATGGGGCTATGATTAGAAGAGGAGCAGCTCTCACTGTTAGGAAGCAGGCTCTGCTCTCAGCGTAGGTATTAGGAAAGCATATAGGGTGGAGCCATAATATTTTCTCTGAATCCAAGGCAATTTGCTAATAGCTGGAAGATATATTGGTATAAGCTGTACTCTGTTTATCTCTAGGAAATACGTTTGAACTGTAGAAAAGAAGCTGTAGTAGAGAATGTCAGTCCTCTTGCACATCCCATTCTCTGTTTATAGGCACTGGCTACCAAAAAGAGTTTTACTGGAAAATTAGGGTGATGCAAAGGTCCTCAGCAAGTATACGCTGGCCTTTGGAGAGCTTTGCCAAAGGATGGTAGAGGGGCCTGGGCTAGTCTAAGGTTTGGCTCCAGAGCATGAGAGCAGCATCAGAAACTTTGCCAGCCAGAATGAGAGTGAGAATATGGATATTGATAACTAGAAGGACAGCCAGGCAGGCAGCAGAAAGACAATCGTTACATATAAGTCAATCCATTTTCAGCAAGTCAGTGAAATTAGTCCATACTGCACTAATTACCTTGTTTTGTTTTGTGGATTAAATGGGCTTCCAAGTGGTTGTACGCTGGAGGAAATGGCAACTTTGTGATCTCATTCTGACACAGTGGTGTTGAGATGCCTGTCTTTATTGTGTGTTTCAGATGGAAAGGATCACACAAATTTAACCTGGGAAGGAACCAGTCCTGCCCTGCAGACCATACGAGTGAGGAACACTGCCTTGAAAGATGCTTTGCTTGATGCTGCTTTAACCAGCACTACTGGTGAGACTCCGAGCAATACATCCAATCTATAGAAAGGACAAATGAAACCTCCACTAAGAAATGAGTGAATGGCTACACTGGTTTTCAAAAATCCAGCGAAGCAGATAGTGAGCATTCTTCTTTCATCTCATTAAAGACTAACTTTAAAACCAAGTGCTGTTCTTTGTATGTATGGGGCCATATTTAACTCTGAACTTATGAAAATCCTGTATTTTGTTCAGGTTAGTTTAAGTGACATAGTAATAAAAGCCTCTGAACAACACACATGCTGCTGAAGAAGCACAGGCCACACGTGCCTTCCTAATTCACCCCATCACCTGACCAATCTGGAGGAACCGACAGTCAAACACACAAGAATGCTTGGTGTCCACAGCCCATAACATAGTGAAATGTTCGCTTCTGCTTTTTAAGAGAAATTATGAACCCACTCATTGGCTTGATTAAGAAGCAATAGTTCAGTGACCTCTTATTCCTGTAACTCGCTTGAAAATCATCAGAGATTATGTAAACGGAGTTGCTAATAGCCAGGCTCTGGCAGTTCAGAATTGAACAAGAAAAGGTAGCAATCTAAAAGGTGGGAAGATCGGTGTGTACCACAGCTGCTTAGCTTCCTCTCTCTTCAAAGCACTTCTAAAGTCTTCATGTGACTGCAAACCACAGAACTATTTACTCACCTTACAGTCTTAGAGAATGCATGACTTGCTCAAGGCCACTGAAGGCATCGCTGGCTGCACTGTGATCAGGATCAGGTTGTTCCCAGCTCTCAAGCCTCACAGCCCTAAGGGAAAGCCCTGGGTTCAGTTTGTGCCGACTGCCGATGCACAGTCACCATTGACCCGAGAGGCTGGTTCTGTCCTCTGCAGTCACAGGGAAAGCCTCCCTGAGCGAACGCTGGGAAAGCAGAGTAACCTGTACAGAAATGCTGCAGATCTGGAGTACTGCCGAAGCGACTGTAGATAACGAAGCGAGGAAATGGGCAGCAGTGGGGCCACCTGTGGTGGTGAGGCGAGCAGGTTGCTAGGCAGTCTTTGTGTGGCGAGAGAGTTCCTGGGGAGCACATGGCCCCTGTTAAAAAGTGCTGCACACGCTTACCGTGGCGCTTCAATAGACTGAGAAGCTGAGGGGATGTGGAAGCTGATGTCATGCCTCTCCCAGCCACCAAACAGGATGGCATGGAGAAGGCTGCTCTGCAGCTATCATCTTACATGCCCGCTCACGCAGCTTTGGGCTCTCCTTTAACAAGGAAGTTTCTATCACAGCAAGGAAGCTACTCCATTTCAATAAGCTACTTTTAAAAGCTGGTGTGTTTCACCTTGGGGTAGAGCAATTCTCCAGCTTCAGTGTTACCAGTTTTGTGTTTTGAAAAGACCTTTGTAAAATTTAATTTTAGAAAGCACTCAGACACAGAAGTGTTTTTTGCTCTCACAGTCACATGCCTGGCTCCAGGACCTTTCAGAAGCACAAAAGGCTGAAGGCAGGGAAAATTCCACTGAGATGCATTCAAGTCTCCAGGGAGCAACTGCACTCTGTTTAGACTAAAATTTCTCATTGCTGCCTCTCCTTTCTATAAAAAACATGGAGGATAGAGAGGGGAAGCTGGAGGGTAGGTTTTTCTGTTATTATAAACACCGAAATGCAAGCACTGTTTCACTCATTTCTCTCATATTGTGGGACCATTGGCGGCTGGAGAGGGAGATAAGCTTTTTCATGCTCTCTGCACTACCTGGGAAATTTCCATTCAAGTTCTAAATGTTTTACAAACATTAATGAATTAAAGCTTAATCCCCTTCTTCTCAGCCCCTATGAAGCAAGTACTAAATACAGTTTGAAGGCAGGGCTAATGAGACTAAAAAAGTTGCGCCTTGTCTGAAGTCACATGGGCAGCGTGTGGCAAGAGGACTCCGGTCTTCGAGTCCCAGCTTTCTACCTTACAGCACAGACAACACACATTCCCTCCCCTTTCAAGGCCTGCTGTACTTCTGGGATACAGTGAAAGCATGCTGGCATCACACCTTCAGATCACCTTGGTTTTTGCTCCTTGGAACAGAGAGACTTCTCACAGCTGTTGTCCCGTGGGATTAGGATATTGAAAAGATCAGAGAGGGATGTGAGGGAGGGGGAAAAAAGCCAACAAGTCACTGCTCTGTCTGCCTTGGGAATGTTCTGCCTCTGCTGCTGCCAGTGGAGTTGGTGTGCCATCAGGAGCAACCTCAAACATTTTTCTATGTGTTTCTGCATAAAACACGGGCAGGACTGTGCTAATAATGCCATAATCAAAGAAAGAACTTGGCTGACAAGAAAATTGGACAGATGAGCCAATAAGTCACTAGTGTATTGAATATATGTGATTTCATTATCCTTCTGTATGTGACCTGCATTTCCTACCACTTCTTATTATCAGAATGCTGTGACTACAGCTGCAGCCATCTCTTTCACCTCCTCAGAAGAGAGCGATAATCCATCAGCCAGTTCCTCTCCAGTGGTATGAGTCAGGGGGATTAATGGGCAGTTGAAGAGAGTTGTTCCCAACAGGGCTGAGCAAAAAGCAGTGTGCACAAGTCGTGAAGTGGAAGAGAAGGAAACAAATCTATAGATTTAAAGGTTTACTTCCCTTGTCCACACCGATCGATAACCACACATGCAAAAGCTGGAAATGTATTGACAGTGGCTGGCATAAGCGGGACTGAGAGCTTCTCCCACTGTGCAAACAAACCTGAAGTCAGTCGGCCCCCAAAGCTGGATCAACGGGTAGCAGCTATTCCATCCCTTGTAGGTGAGACAGTGCTGGGGGAAAAACCAGATCACAGTGCCTCAGCCTCCTCCTGTCTCTCCTGTGACCCTGCAGTGCACCCCAGCACTGCTGCCTTTGGCCTTTCACACTGTTACTTTCTATGGCAAGGCCCCAGTGCTGCTCCTTGGGTATGCTTCTTCTGTAGCACCCTTCTCTGCAGAGGGTCTGGACTCACTGCAAATGCCATGCACAGAGCTCGTTTCATTCCCTGCTGAAAGGCAGCCAGGCCTGAGGTAGAACATGGCAAGCACTTCACCGCGCCTGGCAACTCCACGCAGCTGCTGAAAACAAGCAGGGAAGAAAGCAGTGCACAAACACAGGGGAATTTTCACATAGGCAGGATGTAATTAGCAGAGCTGGAATTTGGCCAGGATGCTGGAGTTAAAACACTGGCTTGCAGGTAACACACTGGGATCTTTCATAATTCCAATGCTCAGGATGTCCCATTTCCATCTTACCTGGAAGATGTCAGAAGACCGTTCCCTATTTAATGTTCCTGGGCAGCTCTCGAACATCTGACACAAAGGGAAAAGTGTCTAATGGTGCTGCACCTGCAGCGCTTCTCCGCCAGTGACTGCCTGCCGTGAACAGCAGCTGAAGGGATCGCATCCTGACAGGCTGCGGCTGCGTCACGCTAATACAAGCCACCGCTGCCTCCATGCCTTCAAGTTCGCTTCACCCTTAGCTCTCATTACTCAGTTTTCAGGCCCCAAATCCCCACCAAACAGAAAGAAAACATGATAAAACTAGGGCAGCCCCTCGCTCATAAAACACAAGAGAGAATATTACAATTAGGTGCTGCTTCAACCTTGTCCTCTGCCACTTGAAATAGTACCAAATCGGTATCGGACAACAGAGAATTCGATGAATTGCTTCTCCCCAGTGCAGATGAGTGAGCTTTTCCAACTGGCCTTGTCGGTAATACACAGAGTGTTAAGAGCTCCTGCCTCCTCCTTCCTTCCAGCAGAGAATCACGTTCAAAACAGCAAAACATTTTTTTCCCCTTCATGATCTCAACTTCTGTATAAGCAATCTTAGTGTTTACTACGAGGATGTTGAATGTCCGCAAAAAGGTCAGGGAAGTCATTCATGAACCTCACGTGTGGAAAGTCCACAAGACGTTTCTACCATGTTGTGGCCCACAGTCTGAAGTATAAATAATTGCAAACCTTTAACCCTGCATCCGTCAGACCTGCAGACTGTGTACAGTTTGAAGAGCTGACTTCCTCCCTGTGGTGCAGTGCATGCAAGCAAAACAAGAGGTGTTCCTGCCATCTGAGAAAGCATAATCTCTGCATCAGCAAGTCATGAAAAAGGGACCCCTCCTATGCCTGTGAGGGCTCCCCGTATCAGCTTTTAGTTTGTTTGGGTTTTTTGTATGCCCAGGCTGCCGTGCAAGTCCCTCTCTTTGTCAAGTGTTGCTTAATACAACCACGGACCAAACCTGCTGAGAGCACCTCAGTCAGTGGCATAACAAACCGACAGGCTGCCTCGAACGGCAAAGTGAGCTGGAGAGAGTACAGTGCGGGCAGCTGCAGGCAACAGGAAATCCAGCACTAATAAATAAAACGTCTTACAGCCAGAAAGAGGAAATAAACAGCAGCAGCACAAGCTGAGAGGACAGAAGAGAGGAACACAGCATAACTGTCACGCAGGAATCACTGCATTACAGTGAGCTTATTTTTGCAGAACGTTGTCCCGGTTTGTTACGTGTCCAGACTGCAAAAAAAACTGAGGGAGTGGGAGGACTGCTCAAAGAGAGGGTCTCTATCAGAAGAAGTTGTCAACAACCACTGTAATTAAGGAAGCAGCCAGAGCACACACAACCTGAGCCGCCGCCAAAGTGAAATGAAAGCATTTTTTGTTTGCAGCCGTAGCCCCAAAGAATAATGAAAGATGGTTCTACCGTGCCGAGTGAGGAGCTGCAGAGACACCATTTCTAGACGGCAAATGCCCTGCCCCCACCTTTCCAAAATTACACGCAGTGAGGAGGCAGCAAGTTACTCTTCCTACGTGCGCTTCTGAAGCATGTGCCCGCATGGACAGGGTGTCCGACTGCAGCGGCCGCCTCTGGAGGCCAGCCACCAGGCAGGTGAGCCCCAGCCACCATGGTGCCGGCTCGGTGGACACCAACCCCCAGCCGATGGGCTGTTGTGGCGCTGTTTGGTCCAGATTGCCGAATCAGCACCCCTTAGTTTTTACCCCCTCGCACTGAGCCATGGGTGCACCACGGCCCCACGG